TAAAACACAAAAAGCGTATTAATGTGTTTTTTGTACAGCAATAGCCAGCTAGCTAGATGAGAAAACATGGCTCAAGGGTTTATATCTTTCTGTACACACACTGTTCACATCTGTTCTCTTCAAAGTAAATTGACACAACATGTGGTAGCCATAAATAAATAAATTTATTTTATATATGGATGTAAAGCTATCCTTCACCGAAAAACTATTCTACACCGTAATATGTAAAAATAGATATAGGGTATGTTTGTTTTATAACTTTAAGCTATTAATTTACGTTGTATATATTAGAGAAAAATATTGTACAAAAAGAATTAAATTTAAAATTTTTATGAAAAAAATACTGTAATAATAAAATTTGAGTTGAGAAAAGAACAACACCGTAATATTTATTTTATATCACACAGATGTTAAAAATGTGTATGTGTAATAATAAAAAGCAATTGTGAATATTCCTTTCGACAGTATTACTAGAAGATAGTATAGCAACTTTTTTTTTTTTGTTTCAGGAATAAGTATAACACTCGTTTGATTTCATATTTTATTATGCAGCTGTTGGCCGTACTATGGTGGATATTTCTTCACTGCTCTGTGTCATAACGTGGGAGCTAATTTCGATCTTCATTGTTTCAACATAAGGTATATCAAATGTCAATGACGACCAGTTAATGAAGAATGTTTCTTGTTAGACGTGATTTTATAAATGACTGTGTGTATTTACATTACTTATGTAGGTAGTTAGTACTGTTAGCCCCTTAATTTTAAGTACATTGACATTTTGGTTCAAACTTTTTTAATTTTAGTATACAGTTATCGAACTTTTACTTTTTGACACTTTGGTTAAAATAAAATTGATGATGTCTATCGCGTGATTTGAAATTTTACAAAATGCATTACGTTATAAACAAAATTTTCTCCGACACTTATTGTAATTATTTTTGAGAAACTCTTAGTTATTATGTAATAAGGATGTGATTATCTAAGTTAAATTTCATAAATTGTTAGTCAATTTTAAAGTTAGGGAACAAAATTGTCAAAAAAACAAAAATTCAGTTATTAATTCAAAATTAAAATTCAGTGACCAAATATCACTATACTCAAAATTTGGGGATTAATAGTGCATATAAATTTGGGGATTAACCCTTTTACGTATTTTTAAGGAGATTGCAAATTTGTATGTATACTTAAAACAAGTTAATTATTTTTGTGGCAGAAATTCTAATTCAAAGAGACTTTAGATATAAATTGAATTAGAGTTGTGGCTGCAAACCTACATGTATGTAGCAGGTGTAGTAACAAATAAAACCATCCGAAAAACTAACTGGGGACTGATGGTTGCAACGAGAATGCAAGTTTGGGGATCTAGTTGAGATTAGAGATGGCAATATTCTTTATGGGGACAGGATTCTACCTTGAAGGGGGTGAGAATGGGGGACAATTATCAGGGTTGAGGATGGGGATTGAGATAAATTTTACTACTCAATTCATGGCGGGGTGGGGACGGGAGAAGTACTCCCCCATCCTTTCTCCGCTCTCATATTAATGTGTAACTATGCAATAAAAATTAAAGTTATTAAAAATAAACAAGAAATGATAATTTATGTTTATATTTTGATGTTTTTAAACTTTTTTTGCGTATATATTAGTTATTATTTTTGTATTCAGTTTATAATATGTTAAGAATTTAGTTTTTATCATGAAATCTTTAATTTTGGTCTAAATTTATAATGAATTTCTACTCTATTTTTATTTTAAGTTGTCATAATTTTAAAATACATGATCTTATATGATAAGAAATAAAACAGGTATGAGGGAGTCTCCTTCAATGGAGAATCCCTGACTCCGACTCCGTCTCTCCTTAAGTGGGGATGGGGATAGTTTAAGATAGTAGGAATGGGGATGAGAAATCATTTTCCGCCCCCATTTCATCCTATTATCATCCTAATTGAGATTTTCAGCTTAAAAGTTTGGGATTTTACGCTAAAAAATGGGATTTGTGGTGCCAAATTTTCCTAAAACTAGAATTCTTTTTTTTTTTTTTTTTTCTATTTGAGGGAAAAAAATTAAAAGGAGTTTCTCACGTACGACCTCTTATTTGGCCCTATCCATAGATCATTCAAAAATTTATTTGACTGCGATTTCATTAGATGTGATGCTGGTGGCACACGATCGGATCGTGTACGTGTGCAAACCATAGTAGAAGTAAAAATGTTCTAAAAGGATGGTCACGTGGCATGAGGGTGCTTAAATTTTAACACCGTGTGTAATTATTATTATTTTTTTGTTTCTTAGTAGGAGCGTAATAAAATAGTATTGCTACTAAGATATATATTATATATAGTAATACGATTTTGGGAAGCTCAAAACAAGAAAAACATCATAATATGTAAACCCCATATCTATCATTTACCTACCATAAGTAAACAAATTATTCTTTCTCAACGTATCAACTAAGCCATGTACGCGCCAAAGATTTGAAGAAAGCTTGTAAATTATTTACATCTTCATACTTTCAGCAAAAAAAAAAAAAAAAAAAAAAAAAAAAAAAAAAAAAAAAAGAAGAAAAGCCACATATCTTCATTACCCAATTTTTTAGAGTATCGCTATAAGACCTGTTAAGTACCATTGATTAATAAAAAGTGAGTCTCATAAGGTAAGATTTATAGGTGAAATTCATTTTTTATTAGTGATTGTATTTATAATCAGTGTGCTCTTAAGAGAGAGATATGGAAAAAATAAAAATAAAAAACACTACTTACAATAGTGCTAACTAACATTTATGTCATGAAAGTGACATAGTAAAAAACATGTCTTTTATTAAATCAATAAAAAAAAATCTTAAACACAAACTTATATTTAGAATGATACAAATGTTAGGATTGTGTAAAACAATGGCTTGAATGGTGTACTTTTCTCAAAAAGAGATATGTCAGGTCCATACTTCATTTATGAAATTTTATAGCGCTATGAGATATTTTTTTTTTATGTATATAGTGTTTGTTTCACAATTCAAGTTAAAAACTTGAGTTGTGTTTATGAGAGAAAATATTATAAAAATAAGGTAGAATTTAAATTTTTGTTAAAAAAAATACTATAACAATAGAGCTTTAGTTGTGAGTTGAGTTGTAAAAAGAATAAGCTTGAGTTAAAAACTATACATAGCTTACATATCAAGGATCATTATACTTTGTTGTCAACTCAAACCAGACAATTTTAAAGAAACGGTTACTAAGGACCCATTTGGTATATGAGTTCAAATTATGGTTCAAATTAATGATTTTGTTTATGACTTTTAAAATTCAATTTTTTTAGAGAGAAAAACACTTTAATAGAATCAAAACCATGAGTTTAAACCTATGAAAAATCCATGTATCAAACACACCTTAAATCAATAACCTACCAGTTGGGCTGAGTAGGGGGACGTATTTGAGAAATTCCCCGTTCGAATTTTAACTTCTTGTTTTCTCCTGCATGAGACACTATGAAGAATAATTTGCTAGTTGGTACGGTTCACTCTTCACACTGGATTATAAATACTCTAAATTAAGACGCATAAAGGCAACAACCAGCTAAAGATATTTCCTTTCAATATTAATTAGATCTTTATGTGTAGATGTACACACACGGATTTCTGCAAATGGTGGATCTTGTCTCAACTATAACCATTTTCAAAATATTTTCCGAAATTAAAAAGAAAAATATTCTTAGAGTTTATTTTACAGAGCTGGTATTTACCCACACAGTATTATTACCTTGACTAATAAAATACCCACCGTCACAATCATCTGATTCAGCTAATACTACATAACATAATGTAAACATTTCTTATTGTTATCCCAATATCATTTCTTTGGCCGGTTACCCTGTAATATCCAAAATTAAAGTTTGGCAGTTCATGACACGAGCCGGAAATATACTTTGTTTACATGTATACCTTATATGATTAAACACGGTATCAAGTATTAAAGCTACCATATATGTTTACGTGGTGTACTAACTGCATAAAAGTATATTACTATCACTACGTTTTCTGAAAGGTCTTTTTATCCTGGTATCACAAAAGGTGTTACAACAATGATTGAGACACTGAGGATATGTTAAGTATTTTGGACTGTGTATTCAGTAAATCATATAGCAGAGAAGCTATGCAGGAAATAATAATGCAGAAACAATAAAGACACACGAAAATGGTATCACAGTTCGGTGCACACACCTACTCTGCGGGGTCACGCCCAGACAGTGAACAATCCACTAAGATTGAAAGATTACAAACATCAATAACGGTCTTACACGCTCAAAACTCTCTCGTTGATCGTATCGCCGTTGTGTTGAGTCTACTTAGAGGACTTATTCAACGGGCACCACCTGACTTTGTAGTATTCCTTCACAATCAAGTATTGACATTCACCATGAGAAACGTATGCAAGATTTTCACACTGAGCACACCAACCTGTCTCAAACCCTCATCCCTCAAAATGTCATCGCAGTCGCTCCAAGAACCAGCCACACCCATATCTGCTAATTGCCCTCACCAAAAACCACCTCTGCAATCCGAACCAATCAACCTCTTCAAAGTAAAATAATCACCACGGATTCTTTCCATAGATATCTCCAATCATCCAGCCGAGTCAACTAAATCAGCCACCAATCATCAATCAGCCAAGTCAACCACCAATCAATCTAAGGAAAAACAATCCAAATCCAGAGGACCATTCCAAACTTGATGCAGCTAGCCCAAAAAGGAAAAACTTGTTTCTTTGAATTGTAAAAATTGCCAACTAGCTAGGAGCAGTTCTAACAATCTCCCATTTTGGCATTTTTGGCAAAACACTAAGATCATCCTAATACTAGGAAATTCAAAAGAAACAGACAACTGACAATAGACATAAAATGTTGTTCAGGACAAAATACAAACAATTACAAGACTCCCCCTTTTTGTCAAAAAGACTGCCAAAGTAAGGTAGTATGCAAAAGAAATAGCATGACCATAACAGAAGAAACTAGGAAGAAGTACCAACTCCATCAGCAGCTGAAGAAGGCTGGAGATCCTCAAGTAGAGCTGCAGTTTCCCTTTTGCGCTGATCAATTTCTTTGAGCTCCTGTAAAAGTCTCTTTTCACAAGCAACAAGAACTTGTAATTCTTTCTGCAAGTACTGAATGGTTTGAGTTTTTTGAACAGTAGCAGCCGGTTGAGAGGAACTAGATGTGACACCAGTTGAGACATGAGGAGTAGCATCCTCCTGCAGCTCGTCTTCAAAAACTGAGAAAGACTCCCCCTGAACATCATCCATATGCTTCCCAGAGTGAAATTTCTTTGAAATTCTAAGTTCGCCTGGTAATTTGGCAAACACCTCTACTGACTTCTTAATATCATTTTGAGACATCAGGACACCATAAATAAGAGAGGGAAATGGGAGCACCTGATGAGTGAACAAAACTTTAGCATTACTTACTATCTGATCATAAATGAGTTGTCTAATGTCAAAGGAGAAGCAGAGACCAATCATGTAGAGCAATTTGGCCAGAGGCTTATTGACACCAGTCGAATGTGTACTAGGCATCCAGTTCTTCAATGCAATCTTGTGCAAAACAGAATACTTCAAACTTAACTCAGCAGCGGGAAAAGATTTTAAGGCTGGCCAATTACAGCGGACATTTCCAGTTAACTCAGTTATGATCTGATTATAGCTTGCTTCACATTCCACAATCGTTCTATGACTTCCATAAAAGTCATTAATAATAGCCGGTGAAAAATGAAACAAGTGACCTATGACAAAAACCTTATGAAACATTGGGGATTTATGATCATTAACCCCACTGACCAAATTTGCATAGAACTCTAAGATGACATCATTTACAAATGGTTTTATTTTAGTGACTGTTCCAAGTAAACTCCGATCTTTCAGAAGTTCCAAAACGCCTAATTCTCCAAATTTAGACTCATTCAGTAATCTCTCAGAGAATATCTTCCTTTTAATAACTGACTTCCAGACATTTTTATTCAAATCAGAATAAAAGAGAATAGTATCATCCTTACCAGAGCTAGGAGCAGAGGATTTCTTCTCTTTCTCTCTTTTGAGAGTCTCTGGAGCTTTTGCCTGAGACTTGGCCTTGGACCTAGTAACCCTGCAAGAATTGACTGGAGGATGGGGGGGTTTTTTTTTTTTTTTCTGGTTCTTCCTCTTTGGCAAAGGATCAGTGGAAGGTTGAGATGATTCAGCCTCATCAGGAGCAGCATAAGTAGCTGATGGATGGAAGGCAGTATCACTCGAGGAGGCAGACCTCTTCTTCTTCGGCTTCTTAGATTGAGCCCGAATTTCAGTTTCAATGCAAGTTTGGGATTTTTGTTTCATCCCTTCTGGATAGACCGGGAACCGATTGGTCCATGAGGGAAAACCCGGTATGATAGGAAATTTCATCAAGTTTGGGGGAATCCGAGGCGAACTTCCAGGAGAGGGTTGTGATGTACCTACATCGACCGGAGTGTCTACTGGGGGCAGAGACACCGGAGCAGGGACGGTAGAATCATCTGAATTTGAAGAACCCCGAGGAGTAGAGAAAACTTCTTCATGGATGCCGGACTCTGGCGGAGTGACAAATGGAATAATTTCCAACGGATGAAGAATGGCGAGAGGAACTAGTTCGGTTTCATCATAGAACAGAGATTTCTGGCGAGGAGTAGCCACGGTGGAGGATGATGGACCCTTCAACTTTTTTGACGGAGATCATTTAAATGCTGCCATTACTCTCCCTCGTAATTCCTCTTGAAATTTTGCTACCTCTTCATTAAAGTCCTTGGATCGAGCATTACGAGTTTTCACATTGTTGAGAAGCAAAGAAAAAACTTGATTTGCAACCGCTCGAATGCTTTGAGTTCAAACCCTAATGCCCCAAATTCATATAAGCAAACTCCAGGGAACACACAAACATCTTAAAACGCATTGTCATTTATTTATTTATTTATTTTTGTTTTACATTACATTACACAAATTCCCAGAGCCATCCTCAAGGACTCAAATCGGAGAGCATCCAGTGGCATGGTAAAAATATCATCCAGTTGTTTTTCAGTAGCAATGTACTCAAGAGTGACTGTTTTATCCTCCATCAGTTCTCTGATAAAATGATGATGAATATCAATATGCTTCGTGCGAGAGTGTTGGACTGGAGTTTTAGAAATATTTATTGCACTAGCATTATCACAGTATACAGTTAGAACATCTTGTGAAATACCATAATCTTCAAGCATTTGTTTCATCCATAATAGTTGAGTGCAACAACTTCCTGTTGCTATATACTCTGCCTCTATTGTAGATAGAGAAATGGAATTCTACTTTTTACTAAACCAGGAAACAAGATTATTCCCCAAATAGAAACATCCACCAGATGTGCTCTTTCTATCATCAACATTGCCAGCCCAGTCTACGTCACTGAAACCCAAAAGACTAGAATTTGTATCCCTAGAAAACTAGATTTCATAGTCCATTGTACCACTTACATACCAAATTATCCTTTTAACTGCAGCTAAGTGAGACTCTTTAGGATTTGCCTAATATCTAGCACAAACTCCAACACTAAAGTAGATGTCTAGTCTACTAACAGTTAAATACAAGAGACTCACAATCATGCTTCGATAGAGACTATGATCAATTGAGGTGCCATTATCATCTTTCATCAATTTCTCATTTGTGCCCATTGGAGTTCTCAGATGTCTTGATTTTTCAAGGGCAAATTTCTTCACCAAATTTCTTGCATATTTACTTTGAGAAATAAAAATACCATTTTGCATTTTTTTCACTTACAGACCAAGGAAGTAGTTCAATTCCCCCACCATACTCATCTCAAACTCTTTCTTCATCTGATCAACAAACTCATCTACCTTTCCCTGACTTGTGGATCCAAATACAATATCATCCACATATATTTGAGCAATGATTATTCCTGACTTGAACTTCTTGATAAACAATGTTTTGTCAACTCCCCCTCTCGTATAGCCCTTCCTATTCAAGAAATCTGTCAACCGTTCGTACCAGGCTCTAGGTGCTTGCTTCAATCCATATAAAGTCTTGTTGAGCTTGTAGACATGGTTAGGTTCAAGAGGGTCTTCGAAACCTTTAGGTTGTTCTACAAATACTTCCTCATTCAGGAACCCATTCAAAAATGAACTCTTCACATCCATTTGAAACAACTTAAACCCCAACAGACAGGCAATAGAAAGCAACAGTCTGATTGACTCAAGTCTTGCAACGGGAGTAAAAGTCTCATCAAAATCAACTCCTTCAACCTGAGTGTACGCCTGTGCAACAAGTCTCGCCTTATTTTTTGTAATGTTCCCATGTTCATCAGTTTTATTCTTAAAGATCCACTTAGTACCAATAACATTGTAACCACTTGGTCTAGTGATAAGTGTATGAAAATGCACCTAAATTGTTCATAATTGCTAAATAAATTAAGTTTTAATTAAATATTTTCGTGGAATTAATATTTTGTGGAAGTATTTGATTTTAATTTAATTTAATTTGTTTTGTAGGTAAATAAGACATTTGGGCCCAAACTAAAAGAAAAAGAAAATGAAGCCCAGCCGTCCGCCAGCCGAGCCGAGCCGCACCAGTCCCCAATCTCCGCCATGTGTCATTTTCTGCAGCGCCGCAGACGCGTGGGACCCAGCTGTCCCCGTGCATACGCGCGCTTGGCGCGCACAGCCTTTCCCCCTGAGCGAGTTCCTACCCACGTGAGCGTCTCTCTTATTCTGCGTGGGTCCTGCGTGCAGCAGGTTCCTCCCACAGCTCGCCACGTGTCCAAGGCAGAGCAACGTTTCTTCTCTCTTCGCGCGACACGTGTCCCACCCGTTTGGGATTCTTCAGCCATATGCGTTTGTGTCCGTTGTGATGGTTTTTCTCCCCCATTATCAGCCTTTACTTCCAAAATAAAGCATTGTAAAACCCAAATTAATTGGAATACGTTCCCTTCCTTCTTATTGCTGATTGTAACCTTTTGCATGCTAAAAAACTCTATAAATAGGGCTTTTGTTAAGTATGTTAGGGGATTGATTTTTAGCCTAAGTTTAGTCACTTTTTCTTTCTTTAGTGAGGTTAGAGATGAGCTTGTGTTGAGTACCCAATTTGGGTTTTGATTCTTGAGTTGTAATATTCTTAAAATTGAGTGAATTAAATCCCATATTTTCTTTTATCTATTTTTCAGAATATAGTGTGCAATTTTTATATAAGTTCAGTCATGCTTTTCTTATGTAATTGTGTCATGCTTTGTTTTGTCATTTAAATTATTTTGCGCGTTGTCATTTACTGCATTATTGTCATATTGATATATTGTCGATTTAGGATAACGTGTAATAATAATAATTTTGTGGAATTAACGTAAGGATTTAATTTTCTCGAAAACTTTTGTTTATGAATCAAGACTCAAATTTGTGAACAAAACATATAGCGATTCTCGACGCCTTACCGTTTTTAATTATATTATTTTCTCAAACATTTTTCTACGCTTATTTTCTCAACAAAAATTCCATTCTCTTTTATTTTTATTTTATTATTTATCTCTTGACACTTTTTATTTGCTAATCTTTTCTTGTCTCTTTTTATCACCTCCTCGTGGGATTGACCGTCCATATTGTGCTACAACTGAGTGCTTTGTTTCGACACAATTTGGGCGTAATCATCTAGGGACTAAGCTCCACACATCATTTCTCACAAACTGCTCCAGCTCCTCCTACATTGCATTAATCTAGAACTCATCTTGAAGTGCTTCTTTAACATTCTTTGGTTCCACAGTAGAAGTGTAGCACACATATCTCACCATGTATCGATAATTTTACTTTGGTTTATCTCAAGTACGTATACCATCATGAATGCCTCCAATGACCTCCTCAACTAGATGATTCTTCTTAATTCTGGAAGACGGTTCCTTGGTAATTGGATCTTCAACTTTGTAAACCTTTGTCTCTGGTTCTGTCTGTCCTGTCCCAGGCGGTGTTACAACACCATCTGCAACATCGTCCGTGACACTATCTTCAACAGTTTGCTTCTCTTCTCCGTGATCAACTATTTCAAATTCATCAAAAGCTTCATCTTCAGAGAGTCGTTCAACAGTCCCTTTGAAGTCATCAACTACTACATTCGTAGACTCCAAGATAGTTTGAGTTCTCTTGTTGCAAACTCTATAGGCTTGACTATTATTAGAGTAACCAAGAAAAACTCCTTCATAACTTTTTGCGTCAAGTTTTCCTCGCTGATCCTGATCATTGAGAATATAGCACACACTTCTGAATACATGAATGTATTTGAGATTAGGTTTCTCACTCTTCCAAATCTCATAAGGAGTCATCTTTGTACTTGGTCTAAGGTACATTCTGTTAATTGTGTAGCAAGTTGTGTTCATAGCTTCTGCCCATAGTCTAAACGCCAATATTTTAGAATTCAACATTAATCGAACCATTTCTTGAAGCGTACGATTCTTTCTCCCAACAGCACCATTCTGTTGCGGTGTTTTAAGAGTAGAAAACTCAAGAGCTATACCATGTTTATTGCAAAACTCAGCGAAGATAACATTTTCAAACTCCTTCCTATGATCACTTCTGATTCTTACAATTTTTCCAATGCTACAATCCTTTTCGTTCAAGAGTTTGACACACAAGATCTTGAACACTTCAAATGTATCTGACTTTTCTCTGATAAAGTCCACCCAAGTAAATCTTGAGAAGTCATCTACACAAACAAACACGTATCACTTTCCACCAATGCTTTCAACTTGCATTGGACCCATAAGATCCACGTACAGCAACTCAAGAACTCGTGTTGTTGAAATCTGTTGTACCACTTTGTGAAAAACTTTCTTTTGTTTTCCTATTTGACAGGGTCCACAAACCCCAAAATGCTTTTCTCTCACCTTAGGAACTCCTCTCATAGCTCCAATTTTGACGATCTTCCTTAGAGTCTTGTAGTTTAAGTGACCTAGTTTTTTATGTCAAATCTCAGCTTCATCAACAGTACACTTGAGACAGTTAGATGTGAGAGTTAACATATAACAATTATCAGAAGATCTTAATCCTTTCATAACACAACTTTCTACTTTATCAAACACTTGACACTCATCCTTGTAGAACCTTACATGAAGTCCAGGATAATGGCAATAATGACAGGTGGGAGTGAATCTTCCTTGTTGTGACCGTTTCGTAGGTACTTTCTTGCTTGTGACTGGTTGAGGTTCTTGTGAGTCATTTTCTTTCACAAATACAGTCTTTGAGGTTGAGCATTCACCAGTATAGCCAACACCAAAGCGATCATCACAAGTTTTTCCCATAGTGAGAATATGTTCCAGTTTAGATGTACCAGAATTCAACATCTTTAAAGTCCTTTGTGTATGTTCTAATTCCGGCTTCCATTCTTATAGCTTCTTTTCCTTTTCAGCAACCTGTGCCTCATCGTCTGCAGTAGTTCTTGTCAAGACTTTGTTTTCTCTCACAAGTTCACTTACACGTTCCTCCAAAGACTTATTCAGTTTGCACACTTTAACCCATTTGTCAAACATGGTTTTATATGCTTCCTGTATTGTATAATCTATCGATTCTTCTCCATCACTACTGCTGCTTGATTCTGACTCACTTTCTTCCTTCTCGCTCTTCACTGTCTCTATATCAGCTATTATTGTGACACTGTCTGCAACACCGTTTGTAACATTCTCTACAGAGTCATCCTGACCAGTGTACACATTAAAAGTAACATAGTTGCTTACGTGATCATCATCTTCCTGACTCCCTTCTGATTCCTCATCACTCCAGGTTACACTTAGTGACTTCTTCTTCTTCTTGAGTGTGTTGGCACATTCGGATTGGATGTGACCATATTCGTCGCACTCCCTACATTGAATGCCTATACTTTTTGTCTTCATTTTAGTGTTATTTGCTGTGAACTTGTTCTTCTGTGAATTGC